TGCAATTTATGATTAGATTTTATTGATTATGTTTTAGATTACACATTCTTCTCTTAAGCCTAAAAAGGAAAATTGATGTTTCTGATTATAAATTTAAATAAATGCTTTAGTAGCTTAAATAATCTTCAAAGTTGGGGCCAAATTGTTTGTTTTAAAATATTAAATTTGTACAAAGGATTATGATTTATTAGGGCACACAGTTGATGGAGAAGCATAGAGATCATTTGATTTTCGATATCCTCACATTTCTTTAGACACAAAAGATTTGTCTTTTTTAATGACATTATCTATGTATTTCAGCGGTAGAAGTATTCTTTTATGATATAGAGGAAGCCAAATATACTCATATGAGATTTAATAAAAGTCGAATCTTATCTTAAATAGAAAATTTATAGTTTCTACTTCACAAGACAATAAATTTGGGATAAAAATAAGAAAAAAGTGGACACAAAGTATGATTGTTGAACAACCAATTAAGTACCTCTTGCTAATCTTTGATAACTTAGATCTCAATTTTGGTTCTCAAACCTTAAACCCATAATCTACCTCATAATTTCAATTCGTGATCATGTGAGCCCTGGCTTTTGAGATTGAAGCTCCTCACTTCTAGAGGAAGCTATATTTTTTTAAATAAAATATGTAAGTTTTGCACTTGGACACTTGAGCCTATTTCTTTTTTTTTTTCTCTTGAGGATGTCCTCCTTTTGATGCCAAAGTATGATTGTTGAACAACCAATATTGGAATAAGTTCTCTTTCCACACCCTTTGTTGAACTTGAGCATGGACCCTCTAAATGGGTCTTAATCAAGTTTGGGTTGAGTGGAGTTGAAATTAGTTAAAATTGGTCTACTCCTTGTTAATAGCAACCAATGAAATTGCTAAAGGATAATAACTTGTAAAGTTTTTTTTAGCATAAGATTTCTTAAAAACAGAAAAAAAAGTGGTGTAAAGCTGTCCCAAACGAACCCACAATTTATTAACTTATTAATGAAGACTAGCTAACATATCACACACCTGCTAACCTACCAGTGACAGTTGACTATATTAATTACATCGTTATAATTATCATTTTTCTTTTATTTGAAGAAAGACCTCTAGTAAATCAATATCAACCTAAAGCTAAGAATGTAAATGACTTTAAAGTCCTTTATAATTATGTACATTATGACAAAGAAAGATGTTTAAAAATTTGATAAGAGGGTACATTATAACCATCTTAATAATTTCCTTAGGTCCATTTAGTTGCTTGATTTTACTTTTTGAAAAATAATAAATTATTGGTTTCTATTATTTAGTTGAATGTACTTATAACATAATATTTCAAAATTCCTCAAATTATATGATTTCCTTTTTCACATAACTTATGTGCCAAAAAAAATATATATATATTTCAAACAGTCAAATGTGCCCTTTGGGAAGCAACAAACTGCCATGAATTTGTTATAGAGTTAAATTTATATCCCTCTTAAAATTGCAAAAAAGAAGCATAAATCATTCAAATGTTTCATATTTTATCTTCCAAATTAAACTTCAAAATAAACTACATACTATCTAAAATAAAATTGAAAGGTTAATATACGCATTGTAAGGATATGTTAAATAATAAATTCAAGATTTATTACATTAAAGAGTGAATAATAATATGATCATATGTTATTATAGGTATTAAAATAAAATACTTGGAGCTTAAGGAGTGAATAATAAGATATAAATTTTAATCTTAAGGTGGGTATTTATATTTCTTATTTATAGTAATAAACATGATACATCAATTATAATTGATACTTATTTTACTTATTATTGCAAACTCATTTATGATTTATCTCTATTATAGAAAAATTGGCCATGTTGAAATGGATGTTATGGAATACTATGGATAATACATATTAAATGATTTATATGAAAATGTGTGCTTGTGCAAATTGACTAATGGAGTATACCCTCTTATGATACTAACTAAGAATGCAATATTGTTGTAAGCATAAATTAGAAAAGGAATTGTCTTAAATGATATAATTTAGGCGGTGACCCCTATGATGCTTGCATTATATAATAAATAGGAAAAATAAAATTTGATATGATATTATTATTTGAAAAGCAAAATTTTAAAACTATTGCATGATTTTAATTTAATCTCCAAATGATTATGATGATTTATTTTAGATAACATGCATGTTGATTTCTGAATTTTTGCTGCTTAATTGTAATTTAGAAATATGATTATGCATTGAGTGGTGATAGCATATCAGTGTTGTTACTATATAATATCTTAAGGAGAGAACATCATGAGTGAATGAGAATACTTTCATCGTTGATGTGGTACTACAAGAAAAAGGCATTTATCTTACAATTGTTATATTTTTGTTCTAAACATTTTTTTTATAAATTAGTGACTCTTTCAATATAATAAAATTGTACTATCAAATATTTTAATATTAGTTGATGATAGTAGATGAAAACTTAAATATTCTTTTGTCTATTCTTGTCTTAATGTTAATTTAAGCCTTTGAGGTGGGTCATGCACCATTTCCTGTGATTTTTTCAAGTTTTTCCCATAAAAATGTTGGTCTCTTTGCATCTCTTTTTTTATTTACTCGTGTACTAGATCTTCGTTCAAAGCTAAGATAATAAATTTTTGTTTTCTATTGCCGCAGATGTTTTTGTACGCAACTAGCTCACTTCTCAACTTTTTGAAATTTGAGTTTCAAATATGAGGACTGAATTACATGTTGTTTCAATCAAAGAACTTAGTCCCACGGATCCTTTGTCCCAGGCCATCCTGGTCCCGTCTACGTAGTTAAAGGAGGTCGTCTACCCAACTTGAAAGAGGGATTCTTGTCTGCAGCCATGGGTTTCTTTGTCTAAAGGTACCATGTAGACCAGTCGTGAATATTTATTTAAGAGGGCATTTAATTCCATTATAGCTAACAGAGGAATTTGTGCCATATCTATCATATCCTATTGGTTCATTGCTCAATGATTCAAATCGTATCAACTCCTATCTGTTCATGTAGGAGGATCGAGTTCAAACTTAGGATTATTTCTTGACCCATGTTGCATCCTCAGACATCATGTATGTGCATAATACATGCTCGACGGGGCCCGTGTGAGTACTTATATTTCAATACATGAGGAAGCATTTTGGAATAACCAATTATGCAAATGTCCCATGTTAACAGACATGCAAGATTTTATTTTAGAATTGGTAGACACCTTTTGTCCATTTTTATGCATATTGCAGATCCTGTGGTGTGGCGATGCATTGCACATCATTTGGTACTTTATACGAGTAGATTGTCGTGTACTAACGAGTCTCCTTTAGGTGTTCATAGATAATTGTGTTTGTTGTAATTCCTCTACATTTACTATAATTCTTATGCATTTTTGCTTGTGGATAGCATGTTGGGTGTATAACGAGTCTTTTACGACTACTGGTAGGCACATACATTTTGCTTCTTATCGTCTCCTTCTACTTGAAATGAATCAATGTATCACAGCCATTGACTGATTATTGAATGTAAAGATGTCTTAGCATCTATTACCTATTGTTGATTATTGCCGTTGTGTATGTGACCAATCTTCTATTATTGTTAGTAGGCATTTGCATTTACCATGATATTCTATCTCATGCCAACTCTCTGCTATCATATGTAAATGATATGTGTTGAATGCCAATTTTCTAATGTTGATTGTAAGATATCGATGTACTCACCACATGAACATCCTGACATTTATCACACACTGCATTTGTATGATTCCAGTAGACTTTGCTGTTTGCAGGCAAATTGACATATTCATTTACGTGTTGTTATCTGTTGCCGGTCAAATTATATTCGCCTCCAATCTCTTCGTACACATTGGCCAGCGAGTTGCTATGTTCACTGCACATTGGTTTTCCAATTTTCGTAGGAGGCAGATATATTTGCCCGCATGCTACTATTAGCTGTTGGTTGAGCTGCATTTGTCACTAATTTATCCTTCTATGTTGACTGACAAGTTGCTCAATTCACCGCTTATCTGCATCATCATTCATAGGGAATGATCATATTCGTCTTCAAGTTGACTCTTTGATCAAAATAATGCTCTCCGTTCAACGATCGGAGGTCGTTTAACCCTTCAAGCAATGCGTTGAGTGTCAATTTAGCCTCATTTTGTGTGCTTTTGTGCATGGGGGGTCAACAAGCATATTTATATATTTTTGGAGGGATCATTTTGATTATTTCAATGATAAATAAGGATATTCAAGTGGTCAATTGAAGATGACTTCCATGACTATGCAATGCATTTTAGATTTCTTATTTGCTAAGAGATATCAGAACTATGAGATCTTAGTTTGTCTAATTGATACACATTTTAGATATAAGTTTGCAAAATTCTAATAAAGTTAGTCCACTAAGTAATCTTGTGAGTTTTTATTTATACTTTAAGACGTAATTTAGTTTAATTTGAACTCAAATTAGTACGTTATTTATATCATTTTATTCGTTTCATTTGATTCATTTCATTGAGATATTTATTTTAACTGTAAATTTGATGAAAAGAAAACTCAGATAATCCAACAATAATTTGATTTTTTTTATTAGAATACTAGCATGAATTGAGATCTAGAAATGATATATACAATCAAATGAAATTTATATTAAAATAATAATCCCAAAACAAATTAGCCATAAAGTTGCCGGAATTAGAGAAAAAAAATTGGCATAAAAACATTAAAACTTAAAATCTATTAATCTATTATTTCTAACTCAAAATCTACCAAATCAATTTATATATTTCTGTCCACACGAGGAAGTCTTCAATACTGTTAATGAGGTCAACTTTAGATTATTAGATCCTAATCTTCAAGTCTCATCAGATAAAAAAAAATCTGCAATAATAGTTATTTTTAAATTATATATTACACTGTAGATTTTTAAATTATTTTTTCATAAAATTATGCGCAGTTTTGGATGTTCTAAAACCGTGCAAACCGCACTTTTGAACTAAAAAATTATTAATTTAATAAAAAAATAGCACTGATGAATAAAAATCAATCAACCCACCATGAAAAGTTCAGGAGGGAAACGAAGGTCAGTTAATTGGAGCAGGAGGAGCTGTGCCATGTGAATCAAGTGTGCGAGTAGCTTTTTCCAATCCCTTCTGTTTCGGTCTGCTGACGATTCTTTGGAGAAATTAAGAGGAAAAGATCAAAGCTTCCACTGGTAGTTGGCAGGTATTGCTTTTCTGATTTTGTCTCTTGGTTATTGTTCAAGTTCTTTCCTTTTTTCACTGAGTTTCAGTATTTGTGTTTAATTTTAATGGATCATTTCTTGGGGTTTCTCGAGGATTTCTTGTTGGTTTTTGGATTTTAGTTGTGGTATTGAAGGCGTCTGCTTTTGATTTGTTCTGTTATGGAACAGAATACTTGTGTTTGTCGGCAAAAGGATTTCAGTTGTGTTTAATTAGGAATCATTATCCGCAATAAAGTTAATTCTGCCATGAGAAGCAGCAATTTGTCCGCAGTGATTAACGCTTAATCTGGAAAATGGTTCTCCCTTGATTTCTTTTATGGAGACATCTGAGATGTTTTGCAAAACAACAACCAAAAGTAATTTCAAAATCCTAAGGACTTAAGAAATTATTTAGGTTTCATTCGGGACAGCTTATTTTTTGCTTCATAAAGCAGTTTTCTAGTAAAAAAATTTAATTTTTGTGCATGAAAGCTGCTTTAAGAAGCAATAAGAAAGTCATCCCAAACAAAGCCTTAGTGTTGGTTTGCAATCTGCTGCTAAAAATGTTATTTTTTTACTGTGTTCTAACCTAAGAAACCCTTAGTAAATTTTTCTGCCAAAGCTGCTGGAAAGAAATAACTATTATGCTATTTTTTTTTTGTTCGGTTATTTTATTTTATTTCAAAATTTTAGTGGTTTTGATTGAACTAGTTTAGAATATGTGTATATTTCTGCTGAGTGCTAAGGTTTCTTTTAATTGATGATAGGCACAGGTGAACAAAGTGACCTTCCAAGAAAAGCTGATTGCAACAAAATTTGATCGATATGGATATATATGAAGGAAAATTTTGCATAGGGTGATGTGCAGATCATTTCAATCCATCCATATTGGATGGGAGAATATGATTTGATCTTTTTTGGTAGATATTGCTATTTGGTTGAAAAGTATCTTTGCAAGAAAGACAGTTTCAGCAAGGATACTTATGTTGCATAAGATGTTGAATTCTACTTTGGAAGTATCTCTGCGAAGCACTGCTATCTGAAGGCTTGTACATTTCATGAATGAAGCTTCTTTTGCTGGAAGAGTTACTGGATAAGCTTCTTTAGCTCGAAATTGAAACTCTTTTGTTGCGTTCTTGATCAAATAGTCTGAAGTTTGGTAGTTCTCCTTTGGCATTTCTCCTTTGAACCGTTTCTTGGATTCCAAGTCTTATGCAAACTTAAGAAGCAACTATCACTCAAAAAGATAGTTTACATGGGCAAAACAGAACTTTTCTGGCTTTATTAATGTTCACTTATCTGGGAATACACAATCTTGGGTAAACCTGTTTTGGTCGTGGCCATTCACTGTTTGCCTTTGCTAGCATTTTCTATTGTGGCTGTCTTTGCTCACCATTTGTTCTTTGGGCAATTCTCCTTTGGCATTTATCACCTGCTCACTTGCTATCTGGGGCAAGTCTCCTTTGGCATTTATCACTTCTATATTCTACCATTGTGGCGGTTCTCCTTGTGCTCTTGTTGCGTCCACGTCATTCTCTGGGGCAAATCTCCTTTGGCATTTATCGCTTACAAAACTGCTCTCCGTGGCAAATCTCTTTTTACAGATATTACGTGAGTGAATACTCTCAAGGGCAAATCTCCTTTGGCATTTAGGGCTTGCACAGACTCTCTCTGGGACAAATCTCCTTTGGCATTGATCACTTACACAATATCTCTCAAGGGCAAATCTCCTTTGGCATTGATTACTTACTATTACTTTTCTGGTGCAAAGCCCCTTTGGCATTTATCTCTTTACCATGACCTCTTGTGGGGCAAATCTCCTTTGGCATATGAAACACATATCACTGTTAGATCTATTTTGAAATACTTCATCTGCTAGTCTGTTTCAACTCTCCTACGACAGTTGGTCATCTGTCAATCTTAAATTAAATTCTAGGGGCAGATCTCCTTTGGCAAGAAGTGCTTTATCAATTGTTTCCAAGTTTTCTCTTTTCTGTGAAGCAATCTCTTGGAACATGTCCCCTGGACTATTTGAGTTTATTGATTGACGAGTTACCTCTGCTCTTTTATCCGGACGGCTATTGTTTGGCATCAAGTTTTTGAAGTATTCTGCTGACCTTATCACTTTGCATCATTGAGGAAGCGAATTAGCGATTTGTGAGCTGCATCCTTTGTCAGGGTTTTGCTCAGTTCAAGATCAACTCTAAGAAATAGTGGACACTTGAGCAAACATATTTATAATCATCGGTAAGCACATAATTTCTATCTCTTGTTCAATCTTGATAATGTGAGTTCTAATTAATATTTAAAATTTTTTATTGCTAACTGCATCTCATTTTCTTCAAATATTTCTTTCAGGAATTTGATGTAAATTATTGCTAGCAGTGAAGGCTAATCAAGTAGAGTTTAGGTGTTGTGCTTCTGCTTTCTTGCAGATTTGAGGTGAGTATATTTACTTCAATTTTCCAATAGCAGAAGGCTTTGTGGTGTCTGAATGTTTTGAGTTGAAATGTTCAGCATTATTTATTGCAGGTTTGGAGTGATGAATATGTTTACTGATTCTGATTCTGAAAGCTACACTGGAAGCACTGACACTGAGGATCATGATGGTATTGAATCAGCATATGGTGGGCAAGCTTGGAGCATTTTATCATGTCTTGATGAGAGCATAGAGAAGATAGATGATTTTCTTGCATTTCAAAGAGGATTTGTACATGGTGATATTGTGTGCTCTATCAGTGATCCTTCAAAGCAGTTAGGACGTGTGGTGGATGTCAATATGAGTGTGGACCTCGAGACGAGCTTGGGTGAGTTAATCGAAGGTGTGGATAGCAAAAAGCTTGTGAAAGTATGTCCTTTTTCACCAGGGGATTATGTAATACAAGGGAATTGGCTTGGACGAGTGAGCAGAGTTATCGATCGGGTAACGGTTTTGTTGAATGATGGTTCAAAATGTGAGATAATGTTAGGAGATTCAGATGATCTAATACCCTTGTCACCTATCTTATTCGAAGTTGGATCTCGTCCGCTTTATTGTCCAGGTCAGCGTGTCAGCATTAAGCATCACAGTATTTCTGAAAATGGAAGCTGGTTTTATGGTTCATGGAAGGCCGGTCGAACTGAAGGTACTATTTGCAATGTGGAAGTAGGGTTAGTGCATGTTAAATGGGTTACTTCTCTCATGTCTCTTGGATGCATTGCTTCTCCCCCTGATCAAGTTCAAGAGCCAGGGATGCTTATTTTACTTTCCTGCTTCTCATATGCTAATTGGCAAATAGGAGATTGCTGTACTCTTCCATTTGATTATCAAAACTATTCTAAAATGGCTGATAAAGAACCAGTACCTGTAACTGTTGCCCCTCAGTTTACAAAGATGCAACGGTCAGAGGCAAGTGATCAACTCTACAAAGAAATATATTCCATTGCAAAGACCAGAATCAAGGTTGATGTCTTATGGCAGAATGGTCAGGTTTCTTCTGGTGTATATCCAGAAGCTTTACTTCCTGTAAGCAATATCGGAGACCACGATTTCTGGCCAGGACAATTTGTGACGGAGAAGGTCATAAGTGAAGATGTGCATGTGGCAAGCATCCAGAATTTGGGAGTTGTGAAAAGTGTGGAGTCACAGGAACAAATTGTGAAGGTGAAGTGGATAACTGCTGAGCTTAAAGAGACTGTCAATTTCAATAGGGACACGGAGGAAATTGTTAGTGCTTATGAGCTGATCGAGCATCCTGATGCTTCTTATGGCCTTGGTGATATTGTAATACGGCTTTCAAATTGTGACAGTTTTGAGGGAAATATTTCCAATATTCATATTGGAACTGATCAGCTCTTGGAGCACAAAAGCACGCCTGCAAAAAGAGTTCTAGACCCTTCATTATTTCATGCAATTGACTCTAAGAAAAATGTTCAATCGCTTGGTTTCGATAATTGTCCTGCTAGTTATGCATCTCGCATTGGATTTGTAATTGGTTTCATGGATGAAAGTATTGAAGTGAGATGGGCCAGCGGTCTCATTTCCAAGGTATGCATTGTTATCTCCTTTTATCTTGTCTAATTTACTTGTAGAACATGTTGTCTTGGACATGTTAGGTGTCATGACCCAGCCTGAGAATCTGAAAGACGAAGGCGGGTGCAATCAGTCTAACAATTGTTTAATCATTTCCAATTAACATTACAAGTAATCCATAAGAAATAACTTTCAAAGTATAGAGAGGGACTAAACCACAATATTTTGTTAATAGTCAAACCATATAGAAAATAATTCTATTTCAGACATCTCAAGTAACTTAACTGAAATCGTATACATATGATTATTAAATGCTTGTTATCATTCGCTCATCTTCTTCCATACACAAATTATTCTCTATCACCCATTCAATCTAGAGGAGCCTTTTCTGAAACATTAGCATTTAATAACTGTGGGCTCCGAAAATTTGGCCCCGGCCTCCCTGCCACTGCATTTTTCTTCTTCGGGGGAGTTTTAACGGATTAATTTCTGGGGTAAATTTTGGAAGACAGATGGATTTGTAGATAATACACTACCCAGAGATTTCGCCCTCATTTTGCGAGGAATTTATGATCTGAGTTCTGGTTTCCTATAGGCGCAAGCCCCTATGGTTAATTAACACTCCCGATTACTAGAAAGAACTTTTGATTAAGGCTAGTCATCAATCAGATACGTGTTATCTGGCATATAGTAGCAGCATGGGCTTAGGTAAGGTTTGATAATTGATATTTAAAAATGAAAATTTCACCATCTTTCACTTAAAGCGGATGGTAGGGGAATGGATGATGGACCCGATCAAGATCCCATGGTTTCGTCATCCCGGGCCATCATGGTCCCTAGTCTACTTAGTTAGAGAAGGTAGTCGACCTAACCTGACAGAAGGATCCTTATCGGTAGCTATGGGTTATTTCGTCCAAGTGAACCTTGTAGACCTGGGGGAGTGTTTGTCTAAGGGGATAAATTTGAATCCACCTTAGCTAATAGAGGGCTTTGTGCCCTATCAATCATATTATATTGATTAATATCTTAAGGATTTGATGCCACTATGGAACGTATTGACTCTGGCCATAATCGGTATTTCGTGGTGCCATTTGGCTGCAAAATTACTCGGTTCAGAGGGCCCCAGGTCATAACTGTTTATCTTGCGGTGCCATTTGGTGGCAAAACTGCCGGTCAGATGACAAGTACGACTTCCTTATTGGCAGGAGATTATTTCAGAATGAATTCTAGTGATATTTTCAACTAGGCATTAGCCCCATACGAGCTGAATCTATTTTCAAATTTGTCCATCCGGCAAGCTATTGTAAAAGGTGGATGGATTTTTCTTTAAGTGGTTTATGATTAATTTCACTTTAAATATCTGAACTTTGGGATTTTTGAGGAGTTTTGGACATTTGAGCTTTGGAAACTTTTGGAATTATAAATTTTATGGGCCTCTAAAAGGCATTTTAAAATATTTGAGATCAACACGGCCATCATCGGGGAGTATGGGGGTCATTTTCATTTGAAAATTAAACATTGTCGACTTTGTTAATTTGTCGACAGAGGATTGGGTTCTTGGCTGGCTTTGTGGCTTTGCTAATGAATTTCGTTTGTTGGAGACCTTGAAGGCCTTATATGAACGTATAAAAATGATATTCTGGTCGACGCCTTGACCATATATCTGTTTGATAATTCGAGCTGCGTCGACCCCTATCTATCCATATAGAAGGATCGGGATCGAATTATGATTCATTTATTGACCCGCGCAGCATCCCTAAACGTCACGTGTATAACCATAACACGCTTACTGTGGCCCATACAAATTTTCGTGGGTATTTTATAATTATTTGTTGAACCTTGTCGACTCCAATTCACTTACTTAGGAGGATCGGGTTCAAATTTGGGCTTATTTATTGGCCCGCGCAACATCCCTAGACGTCATGTGTTTACCCATAACACACTCGCCAGGGCCCATGCGGGTGGTGATTGCACTTACCCGTTTTGTGTACCTATGTGTATACAAATTACGGTGTATGTGTGGGGGCATTCTTAAAATATTTGTAAATGCCTTATGTTCGCTTGCATGGATGTTACAGATCCGATAGTGTGTTGTAGCAGCTTATGGATTGAGTTATTTGCTGTTTTGTATAGTTAGACTGTAATGCACTACTTGTTGCTTTTGCATGTGGATTATAGTGCACTAACGAATCTCCTGCTTTGGGTCATAAGGACTTGCACTTGTTGAATCTCTTCTATATTTGCTTGAGGATAGCACTTTGTGGATATGATAGGTTCCATACAGCAGTTTGTAGGTATTTATATTTGATGCATATCATACATCTTCACTTGCAGGAGGATGATGTATTTGGCTGTCATTGGATGGTTGTTGATTGTGGGGTGTGGTAGCATCCGTCACCTATTGCTGGTTACCACTACTATGTTTACGAAGAATCTTCTATCATCGCGAGCAAGTGCTAAAAATTTGTCGTATATTGCATTGTATATGTTTGTAGAGATATCACCATACTTGCAACTTTCTTACTATCATTGCTTGAATGTGACATTTTCATTTGCCATTCATAGATCTATTGTATGCATTATGCGTGACGGATCTTCTATAGTCATTCGTGGATAGTTCGTATTGTCTTCTACCATTTATATTCCTTTGTTCTTATCTGGACCTCACTTAGATCTCGTAGTACCTTTTCTCTTTCATGGTTTGTGCAATTGAATATAGTAGGGATTACTGCATCTCTCTACATGGTTGCCATGAAGACTATAATCAGCTTCAGTTTTCTTATTCAAATGCGTTCATTTGTCATTCACAGGGTACTGCCACCTTTGCTGCACATATTATGTATTCATTTGGGAACATTTTTTTTTATTTTTTATTTTTTTATATTCATTTGGGAACATTGTGTGTATATATGATGGCTTTTACAGTAGCTTATAGGAACTTGCTTTTGCAGTGTATTATCCACATTTGCTTGTAGGAGTGCAATGTGTTTGTTTGAATGAAAGATACATATATAATAATTTCTCATTGTTGTCTCCATTGCGGTTTGCAACATTTGTCTATCTTTAATTATGATCAAACTATACATGCCTATATTGGTCATTGCTTGGAGATGAATTAAATTCAATGCTACTAGTCCGTTATCATGCTACAAAAAGTTCATGCCATGGCTTTGTGACCACATCATATCCTTCACAATCCTTTGTCATTTAGAAGGTAGATTATGCTTACAAGAGGGATTGCAACATATATGTTGAATATGATATCATTGGTCATTAACATTTCCCTTCCATTTAGGGTAATCACTTCTTAACCTTCACAATGATTGTGTTGTTGATCATAAGCACATTATTATATATATTTCACTTAAACCTTATTGACATGTTAATTATGTTTGAATGCCTTCCTCCACGAGTTCCCCTGTGGTCCATCCAAGTTTTTGCTTGAGTTCAACTATTCAAGTGAAGTTTGAGTCAAGTTCTTCTTGGTTGAGTTTGATTTAAGTCCTTTGGTCATTTGAGTTTGAATCCAACTAGTTCAAGTCATATTCACTTAATATACAAATTAAGTCCAAGTTTGAACTCATTAGATTCAAGTATATTTTGTTAATCATTTTTTCCAAATACAAGTCTATTTCATTATCCATTTAGGTCACCGATCATTCAAATTGCAAGCTCGAGTCCCCCTCCAAATACAAGTCCATTTCATTATCCATTTGGGTCACCGGTCATTCAAATTTCAAGCTCGAGTCCCCCTGTTGCCTTGTAAAGTTCAAATATGAGTTTAAATTGAGTTATTATTTTGAGTCCAAGTTAAGTCCTTTGGAGTTTAAAATTTTTTTATGCATTCTATTTAAGTCCAAGAAAAGAAATTTATTGATTGTTCGAATTTGAATTAAAGTCCATTTGATGTTCCAATCAACGTCCAAATAAAGTCCCATATTGTTCAAAAGTTTGCAAGTCTTTTATAAATGTCCAAGTCTCATATATCTTCAGTCGAAATTTTGGCAACCTCCCGGCATCTCCTCCATTTAGAGGAAACTACGGGAAACTGGGTCTCCCTCCATGATAGAGAAAAGCGTGCACGGTTGGTGTCCTGGGACACCGCAGCCGTAGTCTTCGTCCCCCATCACGCCAGATAAAGGCGTGCATGGGTCTTCAGGCATCGGTTTTGAAAGCACAATTATTCATTCATCCCTTCCACGCTATATAAAAGCACGCACAGGGCATGCCTGTCTCATTGTAAGCGCCGCACCGAGTTCCCTCCCACTTTGCTAGAGAAAAACGTGCATAGGGGGTCCTCGGCGCACCACAAACACCGAAAACAGGACTTTAGGGGATTACCCGCCTTGTCGCAAGTATCACAACGAATTCCCTCCTAGCATACTAGAGAAAAGCATACATAAGTGATTGTTCGTTGCGTTACAAGTGCCGAAACGAGTTTTCCCAAGTTTAGAACTTATACCTTAGCAAAGGGAGTGTCGGTGGAGTTGGCACACGGATTGAGGCAAATAAGTTCTCTCTTCTTTTTTTTTTTAACAATAACAAGAATAATAATAACATAATTATTATAATTAATAGTTCTTATAATTATAATAAATTTACCACCTAATTATTATAATAACATGATTATTTTAAATAATAATTATTATAATAACTAAATATAATTAACACTAATTAGGGGTTATAAATTACCTTGGGCTAACTCGGGTTCTGAATGGACTAAGAGGGGCTCAGGTTAGCCTTCAGATGGGTTTCGGAGGATGAGGTTTGGGTAAATAGCGGCTAGGGCTTGCGATTAAGTTGGAGATGGGTCGGGTAGAGGAGATGAAGTCGGATGGCTTCGGGTAGCAGCGATGGGAACTCGGTCGTAGAAGTCTAGGGGTCTGGCCGAGAGGAAGAGATGGGCTTGGAGGTCGGAGAGGTATCGGGATTCCCGGAGCTTGGTTTCAGCAAGGTAGGTCGGCTGCAAGCTTTGGTGGAAGGATCGAGTGGAGGTCAGCTTCGGCTTAGAGGAA